GCCCAGACATGCTTTTGCTGTGTCGATAATGCAGTGGTGGTTCACCACTGAGGACATGATCCACCCACAAATGGTCCCTTGCATAGTTGTGCAGAATACATTGGGTAGTTTTTGTGATCCCTCAGTGCAGATTGCTGGTTCGGGACGTCTCTCCATGACTGGAGAGACATACAAGCGCCTGCCTTGAACAAGTAATGAAGGAACCAAGTAGTAGCATCCTGATTGCAGCTTCTGGTCATGGGGTGGTCATCTCTCTTGGTTAGCACAGGACAGGATGTATGATTGATCTTGTGCCTGCTTGAGAGCAAAGAGAGATGAACAGGGAAAGTAATGAACAGGTGGACAACAATATCCATGAAGCAGGATTCACAATAGGACTCTGTAATGGTCTCCCTGGGTGTGGCTTATATCTTAGTGGTGACGTGCTGTAGTTGTAGATCGACCTGAGTTGTGCTACCTTAGATGTCTCTGATGTTTTTTGGGGCCCTGGGCACACTTACAAACTGCAAAAACTGTAGTGGGCACCACATCCCCCACAACCAAGCACAGACCCACAACCATTGGCTACCACAGAATGCTTCTTTCAAGCTGAATTTCAGAGAGGGGACTCTGCAGGCACCAAGGAAAGCATCTTCAAGTACATGTGCATCTATGAGTGCCATGAGGGTGACCCCTGAATCACAACATATCCTGTGGTCTGTCATGGCAATGTGTGCAGGGCAGTCACTGACTTGGAAGTAGCTGTTTTTTTCGGGATACCCCCCCCCCAATTGAAATCAATAGGAGAGAAACTCTTTGTGTCAAGTCTGGTTGGTGTAAGGTTGTGCTGTCAATGGAGAGATGGCTATGAACTGAAGGCAGAGATTTAAGTAAAATCACTTATTTCTGATTACCTAATCAGATATTCACACTTCTGCATCTGCCGTCTTGCATGCATGTTCCCTGTCTATAACAGGGAGATCATGCAGACTTCGTTTTCTGTGACACTAACCTCTCTGCTCTGGGTTGTGCTTTCAATGCAGCCAAGCAGTAGATAACAAGGTGCAGCTGAAATGGTTAACTGCTTGTGTTCCTTGGCATCCTTCCTGGCTACTGCATTCCTATGGACCCAATTTCAAGAAACACAGCTTTGATTTTCCAGCTTTGCTCTGCTTTCAAGAAAATTGTACCGAGGATTCTGCTCAGGAAGGTCCTAGAGAGCACCCCCCACCATTTAGGAATCCTTTTGTTGGTTACTTTAAAAAGTGATTGCACTACAGGACAAAGAGTGAAACATCATCACATTGGTTGCCAGGGACTCACATTGCTCAGCCAAAAATAGTTCTTAGCCACTAGTTTTTTCCTGCAAATTATAGGTTGGGTCAACAGTGCAATTTGCTGGAAATTCTGGAAGAGACTTCCTGCTGAGAAGACCTTACAGTGTGTCTTGGAAGGCTTAGGACATGGGACAGTTACTCTGGCAGAGTGAACAACCATGTATAGTGGGGGCAATATGGGGAGAATAATTTTAATATGCAGAAACAGACTGGATCCAACTCAAATCCAGTCTAGCAGCTTACTGCCAAATCAGCCAAAGTTAGTGTGCTGCCTGCTGAAATGTTCAAAGAATATTTGCTTGCCGGACTGTACTGTGTACCTGAAGGAGCGTCTCCACCCCCATCATTCAGCCCGGACACTGAGATCCAGCGCCGAGGGCCTTCTGGCGGTTCCCTCATTGCGAGAAGTGAGGCTACAGGGAACCAGACAGAGGGCCTTCTCGGTAGTGGCGCCCGCCCTGTGGAACGCCCTCCCATTAGATGTCAAAGAAATAAATAATTACCTGATATTCAGAAGACATCTTAAGGCAGCCCTGTTCAGGGAAGTTTTTAATATGTAACGCTGTACTGTTTTTAACACTGATTGGGAGCCGCCCAGAGTGGCTGGGGAAACTCAGCCAGATGGGCGGGGTATAAATAATAAATTATTATTATTATTATATTATAGTGTATGCCAAGAGTGTTTGATTCTAATTGCCTCTTATCCAGAAAATGAACCTGCTTGTTTCTGTGAGGATGGAGGGCACAGCCTGGAAAATATTGAAGAATGTGACAGGCTCCTGTGGGCTCTCGCCGTTCCAATCTGTTGATGCCCTCTGCTGTTTGGAAGTCAATATTGTCACTAGTCTCCTCTGTGTGCAAGGGTTCATGGAATCATAAAATTGTGGAGTTGGAAGGGACCACGAAGGCCATCTAGCCCAGGCCTCTGAAATGTAGGAATCTTTTGCCCAGCATGAAGCTTGAACCCATGAACCTGAGATTAAGAGTCTCGTGGCTTACTAACTGAGCTATTCCTCTTTTCCCCCACAAGAAAAGAATACAAGAAAGAGTTGGCACAAATAACAACTCACAAAGGCCGAAAGGCCAAATGCAATCGCCTCTGGAAATGATTGGAACTGTAGCTTGGCTGGACTGGGTGTTTACTTGGCATCTGTGGAAAAACTCTTCCCCCATCCCCTTTTGTTCTTCTACAAATATTCCGTAACATGGGGGTTTAATTAAGTGGATATGAAGTTCTTCTGGTTGTGGCCAACTTTCTTGATTTTTATGATGGCTTTTACAAGCAGTTGTTTCTCCCTCCCCCTCAGAAAAAAGAGGCCCTGCATGGCACAGTGAATCAAAGGGTCTGGTTAGAATGTGAATCTTCTGCTCACCTAGTTTATGGCCATGGGAAAGTCACTGTTATTAGTCCACAGTGCAGGATTGTTGTGAGGGAGAAATGTGGTAAGAAGTGTGAGGCATTTTGTACACTAAAACACTGCTAATGAGAATAAGAACAATAATGAGGCTACGATAATGGTAATTTTAATGGTAATTATGGTACTAATGAAGATAATGAAGGTTCTAGAGCCCCATGTTGCCCCCCCCCCCCACATCAAACTCAAGGTTAATGGTTATCCAGGAATAGGGTAGGGGCATGATCAATTGCTTCAAAACTGAGAAGGCAAATAAAGAAACCCCCATTTAAAAGTATTTTAAATCTCATTATTCCCTGTAATCTGAAAGATGATATGGCTCATGTCAGGCTCATTCACTAGCTTTGAGGTGTTACATGGAACATCTGGATAACAAATACATTTTATTTAAAAGCAGACCACCCTTATGCTCCACAATTTAGGCTACTTGGTGTCTGTGGTCAGTAAGAAAAGCTGCTACCCACATTTGCAGGACTGGTGGGATCCAGTGTGACTGTTCCATTATCTACCCATTCTTGATTTCCTGTTCTCTGTTATTTTAATGCTTGCCGGTGGTTGTAAGGGAGACTGCCTCTTCAGAACATTAAAGACCAATAGAGTGAAGGGTATGCTTGGTTCCTCCCCCCTTTTTTCCAGAACAGTTCTGTGGACTGAACTCCACATGGAAGAGAGATGGCAAGTCTGCAGTAGCCTCTTCTTAAATGTTCATCTGGCAACATTTGTATTACTACATTGATCCATGATGTAAAACAGTTCTTAACTAATGCCCCACAGTGTCTATGTACATAAACCTAGTGAGGAAATCAGTTTTGTTTTTTAATTCCAAATTTGGGATTTCAACCTGGATTTCTCTCCATTGAGGTTGCCTTTTGCAGAAGCAGGCTGAATCGATCCTATAAAGCAGAGATCAGGAATCTGTCACCATCCAAATGTTACTAGACTACAGCTGCTGCCATGGTCCCTGGCTATTGACTGTGCTGGATAGGGCTGATGGGAGCTGGGAGTCCAGCAGCATGTGAAGGTCCATAGATTTTGCCCCCCCCCATCCTTGCCATAAAAGACTTCAGCTGTGAACTTGTGCAGCTGCAATCTCAATGCTGACTCAAGATGTGGTCATTTGTAGGTGGCAGCAATGTGCAAATGTGGAAAATAGGCAGGCTGAATATTATTTAATTAATTCATTTTAGACACACACCCTTATTTTGAGCTCCAAGTCCTCATAAACTGACAGCACAGTAATTAAAAAAGCAGCACTACAAAATGCATTGCAATATACTTTGAAATTTAGCTTCAGACAGCATAAAATCATTCAAGAAATGACTAGAGAGAACAAATGATTCTCTGTGGTCCATTTAAAAAGCAACCCAAGAGGAGGCTTGATGGAGGAGTGGCAGCCTGATCCCAGGGGATGGGATTACAGATATGGTGGAGCCAGCACCAAAAAGTATTAAATATTTTACCTGGCGCCTAAAGTTTACTTTACTTGTTCTCACAGGGGTTCTTTTTTGGCACTTAGCTAGGAGGAAGAACTCAAGAAATAGAGCATTCTGCTGTTCAGAGACACTGACTGTGCAGGTATTAGCAAACTTGAGGGAAATTATCTTCAGATGAGAACATTTGTCCCTGCATCTGATTCTGTACCCTTTTTAACCAGGGTTTTCTTTGTTGACTTGTGTAGGAGTACATTCATTCTTCAGCTGCAATTGGTTCATCCTTTGGCAAGCATCTCCCCCCCCCCCAGATTATAAACAAAAACAAACCACCAAAAGCAAGTTTAAAAGGAGATTCAGAAGTACTGAACCCCTTCTTCATGTAATCTCGTTCCCTGCCAGTCACATTTTGCTTCATAATGCAAAAACCATCCACCTGGCAGGTCTTGGTTGTCCTCCTCATCTTCTCTCAGTGACAGTTTGGAATAGTCCAGAGTGTGTGCATCCTTCCTAGGCTGCAACTTCAGTAAGAATTTTCACTCCTGGGCAGATTTATATGGGTTCTTATGGTAGGGTCTTGAAGTTTCTGTATATTTTGGACCTTGTCCCAAGCAACTCCTCAGAGATCTGGGTAAATCCTTGGTTACTTAGTGGGAAGGGAGCAGTTTCCCAGTACAAGTGGAGCTACTCAGTATTGGTGGGACTACTCTTGGATGGTGGGACAGTGGTGGTTACATTGTACAAATAATGCTCATAATGCTGTCTTTTCCTTTCCATTTCTCTTTACATTGCATATGCAAGGATTCTAACACTGCTCTCTTTTGTGTTCTGCCCTTTAGGCTGCCACGCCTTGCATGCCTGCTGGCAATCATGAGCTGGTAAGTGACCTGTTTCTCCTCCTCCTTTGGCTGTTGCTTTCTGCCCTCTCTGCTGCTGCCTCGGGCACCAAAGGCAGTTATTTGCACATGGACTGCAGAAGGATGGGCAATTGGAGGGTCTGCAAATTTACAATGAGGTGATGTGCTTCAGCTCTGTAAAATGTGCCCCAGGTAAAGTGAAGTGAGGTGAAGTTCAAAATACGTAAGAGGGACAACTCTACCACTCCCCCCTGTCACACATGCACATGGTTAATGTATTTGATGTTATTTGTTTTAAATCGATTTTCTGGATGCTTTAAAAATGTATGACAAACAGATAAAGGGGTGGGAAGCAAGCATATTTTCCATATCAAAAGAGTCTGATTGCATATTGTTTACTGGGCTTCCTGCTGAGTAAACATGCATAGGACTGGGCTGCACATAACTATTTTAATATAAATTATGTTTCATTGTCCAAACTGGAATTAATTCTTTGTTTTCCTTCTTATGCATGTATATAATATTGAATTATTTCCATATTAGTGCCATAAAGACTGTCAAATTATCCTTGTAATCATGAAACATCCTCTAGTCTCTGTTTACTGTACATTCTTTGTTGCGACCATCAGGGTAAATACTCTCTCCTTATCCTTTAAACACCCAAATGCAGAATCTCTTTTAGATAGGCTAACAAGAAAATCTTTTGATCCATTTCTGTACACCATGAAAGCCTTTATTTGTAAATGGGATTTTGCAGGGGTGTGCCCGGGGTGTGTGTGCTCAGCATATGGGACTCTCAGAGCAGCTAACAAAATTTTTAAAGTACAATAAAAAAACCCTGCAATAAAACATAAAACAGAAGAGGGACAAAAAAATAAAAGAAAAAAACCCTCAAAATTATTTAAAACAGGGATAGTGGGTGCTCTCAGATTTCTAAACAATGGTTAAGGATGCCCCGAAGGAGGCTTAGAGCAGCATGTGCTCCCCTCTCTCCACTCCTGTCTTAGTGCACTGGATTCTACACTTAAGTCCTGTTCTGTTTAAAAGGGAAAACACCCTGATGGAACCAAAATGGGGAACTGCCATTTAAGCTTGGTTTACTAACCACCAGGAACTTAAATCAGGATCAAGCCGTGGTTTACGATTCTGGTTAGTAAACTGATGTTAAGCCAAAGTTCCCTGTTTTGTACATGATTGGGAACAGTGGTTTAAGCCGGCCAGGATTGCAGTGCCAAAGCCAGTGTGTTAAAGAAGGAGAGAGGTGAACGGGGGAGTGTGTGGGCCCTAATCTCTTTCCTGACTCATGGTATAGGAAGGCAAGATAGTTACATCCAAAACGGTTGCTTGTTGTTCAGGTTAAAACATAAATCTAAAACAGAAAATCTGAAACGTCTTCAGTGGGTGATAAAAAGACATCGGGGTCAGGGTCAGGTGATCATCTCTAGGAAAGGCATCCCAAATAGTGGTATCACTACTGAGAAGGCCCTATCACAGGTCTCCCTACATTTCAGAATTGCAAGCTTTCGCTGTTAACTTCTTGGATAGGCAACATAGTGGTAAGGTAAAGGTAAAGGGACCCCTGACCATTAGGTCCAGTCGTGGACGACTCTGGGGTTGCGACACTCATCTCGCTTTACTAGCTGAGGGAGCCGGCGTACAGCTTCTGGGTCATGTGGCCAGCATGAGTAAGCCGCTTCTGGCGAACCAAAGCAGTGCATGGAAACGCTGTTTACCTTCCCCCCAGAGCGGCACCTATTTATCTACTTGCACTTTGATGTGCTTTCGAACTGCTAGGTTGGCAGGAGCAGGGACCGAGCAACGTGGGGATTCGAACCACCAACCTTCTGATTGGCAAGCCCTAGGTTTAGACCACAGCACCACCCACATGGTAGACTGTACCAAATGCTCAGCTCTGCACCCACACACCCACACACACTTTGGTAGGACCATTTGTCCCCACATAAATAGCTTGTTGGTGTCTTTCAGAGGGGTGGTCTTGCTGAATTCTAATGCTTTTTAGGAGGTGGCTTAATACCACTGACCAGGTGGTTCCCACCCCACCCATAGAAATATTTTGCTGCCTCTTGAAACAGTGGAGCAGCCTGGCAGCATTCCTCCTTAATGGTCCATTGCTATGTCATGGGAATAAACCTTGCAGAGAGACATTATTGGGTATGGATAGGACTCAAGGCACAGGCCCATGGCACACTAATTTGCACATGCTTCTTGATATAGATGCCTCTGGGCAAATAAAGATTGCTGATGCTGAGGGTCTCATCAAAACTGAACTCAGCAGTGCATCCAGTTACCCTGTAAGTATTTTGTTTGTTTGTTAAAAAACAGACCACAAGGGAAAGGGTCAAAAGACCCAGGGCATGGTGCGAAAGCCCCAAGTCTCAGATTCCCCAGGGCACCAGCTAACAATGTCCCTGGCCTTGTGTGTGCATCAGAGCTCCAGAAGCAAACAAAAGAATTGCTGTATTGAAAAGCTGCCCTCAACATCATTTATATGATACATTCCAGCATTGGCCTGATTTATCATCACTTCAACATGATTCTCCTTTCATTTTTGGGGAGTTTGTGTTGTTTTTCATGTGGAAAAGTGTCCAGCCTGCAAGGGCAGATTCTTCTGGCAGAATCCATCCCTCCCATGTCTGGAAGGGTGGGGTTGGCTTAGTGAAAGCTCCAAATTGGTTTGTAACTCTTGCATATTGAAACCACCCACATGCTGGTCCAATCACATTGTGGGCCCCAGCTGGGCTCTGCCAAATCTGAATAAATCAGAGTTTAGCTTTGGAAACCGTGTCCTTGGCTCACCCAGGATGGTGGGTGGTGGGAGGGAGGAGGAGGCTTGCTTGGGGGCTGCCCCTTAGCAGCTGTGCAATAAGTCTTCTTGCAAACAGGACCTCTCTGCCATATTTTTTAAAGAAATCTGAAGGCAAAAAGGAATCTTCCTACTCTTCTTACTTGGGATTGCAGAGGCTAACATTTTCCATTCCAGGAATGCAATTTTTTTTTTTTTTTTGGTGCTCACATTTAAAACAGAGGCACACCCTTTAGTGGCAGGGACAGTTTCACCATATGGGGAAACTGGAAATCACAGTGGTGGTAGGCTACGAATTTGCAGGGGTGGTATGCACTTGGCTCAGGAAGAATAAATCCAGCAGTGCTTCCAAATTTGGCATAGACAATTAAAGTGGATTTGGCGCTCTTATGCAACAAACTTGCTTACAAAAACAAAAAATCAGGCTTCTTTGAAGTAAGGAAAATGATGAGGAATTGAGGGATGATTGGTGTGACAACTTCAGTTTAGCACTAAAGTAGGAGTGCATGAAGGAATTAAGGTACGATGTCTTGCAACTGGTCCCCATATTCTTTAACCGAAGAAAGTCATGCAGAATGCACAGTCTGTACATAGACTGAGGACCTGGAAAAATGTAGGTTAGATGCAGATACACTTATCCAACCTTTTCAGAGCCCCAGTGTAGAGGCTTCATAATTGGCCTTAGCCATACCTCTTAACTTGCATGGGTACAGTCTTGTGCCATGTAACCATTTTATCCTTTGGGTGATGTCAGGCATTTGGTTCCATTGCAAACTCACAGTATCTCACCAAATGCAAGCTGAAAGATTTGTCCACATCTCCAATAGGCACACAGAGTTGTCGCTTCTCCTATGCCCTTTCCCATTCTTGGGATGGTCCTCCTGCTGCCAGACATGGTTGACGGTATGCAGTCTCTGTGTCTCAGAGCACTTGGCATTGCCTTCCCAGCACAACACAAATCGCTCTAGCAGATGGTTCTTGGGCTTTGTCGTCATTGCCCAAATCTTTATTTTTGTCTCTTCCTTTCCCCTGGAAATCTCTTAATGGTAAGTCAGAAGCTGTTAGGGAGACAGGCAGCAGGGCACTCTGGATCAAAGCTTTGCAAAGCCCTAAGTTGCCGTGAAAGAGGAGCAAGGAATTCCGAAAGAAGCTCTCTGTGCAAAAACAGGCAGCATGTTCCATCTGTGCTGACATAAACAAGTATCATGGGAAGGAGGCCCTGCCCTCCTTTTCATAGATGTTTCTTGTTCTCTACAAAAGCTGTGACAAGATTGGGGGTGGCAGTAACAAGGAGCATTGTAGAACTTGAAGAAAAACCTATTCTCTTTCCCCTACCCCCGTTTCCAAATGCCCCATAACTGCTGCCCCACTTGGCCTCCTTTTCTTGTGGAACATCTGCCGCTTCTTTGCCAGTGTCGTGTGAGTCACACACACAACCTGGTGCTTCTACACAATGAACATTACTATTACAGCTTCTTGAGCACCGGGGATCCTAGGAAATGTACTTTTCCCAAGAGCACCAACTATATTTCCTAGAGTCCCTTTCACCTGAGATGCTGCCATAGCAACCTTTCTTTAAGGTACCGGGAAGTGGGGAACAGGCCTTCCTGTTGTCACCAGAGCAGCTGCAGCAGCAAAGTGGGAATGGGAGCAAGCAAGGGAGGAGTTCTGCTTTAGCTCACATGAAAAGAGCCCAGTCTGTAATACTCATTTTGTATTTAAGGCAAGCATTATATGTCTGCAGGGTTTGTATTTTGAGCCAAGGATGGGTGGATTTCAGCAATGTTATCAGTTACCAGTTGCTGGAAACCACAGGGCAGGAGGTTGTGCTCAGTTCTCACTTGTGGATTTCCCATAAGCATCTGGTTGGCCACTGTGAGAACAGGATGCTGGACTCAATGGACCATTGGCCTGATCCAGCAGGCCTCTTTTTATGTTCTTAACATCCATAGTTCTAACGTTGTTTTAGTATACAGCATTGCTGGAAAAGGGGTTCCTGTATGTATGTAGGTCCAAGAGGGATGTACTATAAAAGCAGCCATCTTCACCAGTGGTATAATCCCATCAAATTCCACAAATTCTCTTGTCTTGGTTCCCATGGTGAGTATTCCTCCTTCCCCCACCTCTGTCAAACATAAAGCTCAGTGTGACAGGGGCAAGCTCCCAGTCCCCTGCCAGTCTCTTAGCTGGGATGGAGAGTGGGCTTCTTAGGTGCTCAGAGGACCGTTGAAGATGAGCACAACATGGACAAGCCCTCAGCCCCAGCTCTGACTAGGCAAGAGGACTGGGCTCATCATATTTGGCCATGGACATGTATAGAACACCTCTTGTAAGTTCCCTGTAACTGGGATAAGCCTCCACCACCCTCTCCAGCTTGAAGCTGGAAAAAGAGAGAGTGGGGGCTTATTCCTACACCTGCCCCTTTGGAGACCCTGCCCCTTTGGAGTGGAGCACAACATTTCATTGACTGCCACGGGTGGGCAAAACTTGTGGATTCCTGTCTCCAGCAGTAGCTGCCCACATTCCTCTGGAAAGTCACAAGCTGTGCCTAATGATAAACGGCTCTTGTCTTAGCTCCAGCAGTTGAACAGAGCATCTGTGTTCAGAGGCAGTATATCTTTGATTATCAGATGCTAGGGATAAAGCACAACACAGCTGTCTCATGATCCCTTGCTGGAATTACAAATGGCAGGGTTAGACCAAACTCTGCTCCCGATTCCCATTATTGTTCCAATTTGGTAACTCTTGATACGCACACCTCTGTTCTTTGGCTGGCATACCAAGGTCTGGAGCCCTTCAAATGCCCTGTGATCCTTTGCCAAAAGCAACTTGCTTGGGTAACTGGCTTGCTGGCATACAGAGCCCTATCTTCTTGGGCTATTCAGCATTGCACCCCGTCTGCACTGGCAGCAAGCCAAGGCAGCAGTTAGAGGTGGCCTCATGCAGGTACCTGCACAGATCCCTGCCAAGCCATAGACATGCCTCTCCTCAAAGCTAGCCCCCCCCAGTCAAAACGGAGCATTTTGACTATCTGCTTCTGTGCTCCTTTGCTGCCAGCTGCTTTGCAAGTTTCTTTTCACAAGTGGTCTGCTGCTTATTATCTCCGTACACAGATTAATCTCTGTGCACACACTGGCATATTTGGATGGTAAACACAGCATACATAGGTCCCCGAGAGAGCTTCCTAGGCTGGCCAGGGAAGTTTATCTGTGGAAGGCACATGCTCTGGTCTCCTTGGGACCGTTATTGTGGGTTTGTCAAGGAAGCTGTGCGGTGTGCTAGGAGCCAGCCTTCTCCTGAAGGGCTGCCTAAGAGACCTGTACATTTGCCAGGAACCCAAGGACTCTCCACAATGGCACCATTGTGCAGATTTAGAATGTGGCATGCTCCGAGTTCCTTGGCTGGTAGGCACGAGGAGTTGCCAGTGGGGAAGATTTATAACTCCTTCTTGCCAGCGAAGACTTCCCAAGCTAGGTGAAGGAAATGTCTTCCCTTAAAACAACAGCCATGCAGAATCCACGTTGCTCAGGAAGCACGTTGCCTTTAGCAAATGTTCTTCCTCTTCTGAAATGGATGTTCCCTTCCCTTCCCAGCCTGCCATGCGGCTGTGCTTCTGGTCTGTTTCTCATTTGTACAGAAGTGCCTTGGTTACACAGAGATGTGAGATGGCCATGTTGGGTCAAATTGTGCAGTGCGTAGGCATGGGATGTTCCTCTTCTCTGAATTAGGTTTGCTCCTTGTAAGAGAAAGACTTCAATTATATGGAGGACAGTCATGAATCATACGGCCAGTCTGATTCATTCTTGCAGATGTAAGCTAAAATACTCTTCAGAAATGTGAACAATGCACACAGATCAGGAGATTTTGCCAAAGAAGATATATGTTCAGCTAAGGAGGAAACCCTGAACTCCTTCAAAACAACTTTTCAATCAAAAAGCTATGAGCGATATCTTTAAAAATATGTGTAATTAGTACATGGCATATGATACTTCAAGATACTGAGTGTTGCCTTGAACTGCTGCCATGACTAATATGCTAGAGGTCTTATTTTTAATATTTACAGCAAAGCATCTTAACCAGTACTCTGGAAGAACAACACATAAACCACAGAAAACAGGGGTCTCTTGTATGCATCCAAACCGCGTTAGGCATGGATGGTGTTTCATGACGGCTGGCTTGCAGAGACACATCTACCTCCAGTGGCAGTGAGCTTTGCTGCTTCTGTTTACATAAATTCAGAAGGAGATGGGGTGAGGGGAGAGGGGGAAGCACCAGCTTTTACAGCTGATCCAGGAGATGAACTGGACTCCTTTGCTTTTCTGCGTGATCAAAGCTCAGGTTGCTAATTGAATTATGTCTGGAACATTTAACATCGTTCTGTGCAAGGAACCAAGGCAAATGTGTTTTTCCTACAGAGGCTTTTTTTTTTGGAAAGAGCAGAAGGATAAATTTATTAATTTGCCCATTTATTCAATTTGTATGCTGACTTTGGCACAATAAGGTCCTCAAGATGGTTCACAGTCAAATCCATTTAGATTATTAACATTAAAACAAAACTAAAAAGTGCATTAAAAAGCCAGCTGTTATTGCCAACTTTTATAGTCAAAAAGATGTCAAATTACAAAGAGAATCAAATAAAATTTCAAGGAATAAAAATAAAATAAGATGGTTCACTTAGCCATCTCTAAATGATCTTAAAACTAGATGGCCCTAAATCCTCTTCTAAGCGTCTGAAGGGAACCCACGCAGACGATTTGCCTAGAGGTGGAATTATGCAGAATGAGCTCCATAATTGAAAAAGCCCTCATGGTAATCACTCAGCCCTCAAGAACAGAGCTTACTACTTGTAAGTAACCTAGAAAAATTGGCAGGTTGTAGGGGAAACTCAAGACTGTTTGGCCAAACACTGTGATTCAGCGAACTGGCATCAGCTATTACTCCCAGATTTTTCTTTTGGCAACCTCCTTCTGCAATGCCTATTGCAATGCCTTCATTTGCAATATGAAGCATGAATATTTGCAAATAAAAATGTGGATTTTCCCTGTGACTTTTAAAAGGGCTATGACCCTTCTAGGTGATACATATGAAGGTGCAGAAAAATGTGAGGTTGAGGCTATAGAAATAGATAGGGTGCGAGATGTTGGAGGGTAGGGAGGGGGAAAACATGAAATTAGTGGGCAGAGGTCTACACACACATAAAAAACATTTGGGGTATGCTTTTTTTCAAAAGCGTTTTTAACAAGACATTGAATTTTCCATAAGGCTCACTGTTGCTGTCTAGTGTCACATTGTATATTGCACTTAAAACGTTTTATTTGCAGCTGTATAGGAGCAAGGTTTAACACAGAAGGGAGACATGGTTGCGCAGAGAGAGAAGAAAGAGTACTGTGGTGCATTGAAGGAGGAAAGGGAGTTGACTGAGAATAGTCTAAAAAGGGCCAGCTCCACCATTAGGCAGAGTGAGGCAACCACCTCAGGCAGCAGATACTGGGAGTAAGGTATTGGTGGGCAGAGATGTGCATGCCCCAGTGCCCCCTAAGTGAGCCAGCAGCCCCTAGGTGCACTGTCCCTTTGCCAGTGTTGAATGTAAGATTCAACTGTTAGTCCAGTTCTTCTCCATAGGTGGAATTGTAGTGTGTGTTTGCCACCTTGCCTTTTGCCTCAGGCGGCAAAATATCTTGAGCCAGGCCCTGGGCTACAAGAAAACGCAGAATCAGAACGGTGACAAAATGCTTATTTACGGTTAGCATAGCGATGTAGATCTCTCTGGTTAATAACAATTTAAAAATGGTTCTCCAAGTGATTTGTTGCGCATTAAAGATTAACTTCCTCTCTTCCTATTAAAATTCAACTTTGTCACAAACTGAGAAGTCTGGCCCACCTTCCAGGGACCTCTTGAATCTTTCCCCTCAGTTTTGAGAAGGAAGTAGAATTTTTGAACATTGCCTGGGAATGTGCAGCTTAGTACTATAAATAAGTGGGGGAACTTTGAACTTATGCTAAGCCTTCATGCTTTCTCTATCTCTCTCCCCTATACAGCCATCTGCTGAGGAAAGTCCTGCGAAGCACTTAGAAACCCCGGTAAGTGATATGATTTTCCTCTGCTGCAGCCAAGAACATTCAGGAGGGGGAATGTCCCTTGGGAATCCCATTGCCTTGTATGCAGTGGTTCTGCCCCATGTCATGTGTCTTCCCATTTACTCCTTCAGTTTCTTAAACCTCCTGTCCTTGATCTCCCTGCAAATCTCAGGTTCCCACCACCTTTCCTATTCGGGCTTCCTTGTAGCCTACTATGTCTCTTACCTATTTAGCAACTGTATTTCATCTGATTTCAAGCAGAGGCTTGCTCAGGTCTGTAAACATAATGCAAGCAGTCTTGTAGTCAAGTATCAAGTTCATAAGAACAATTACTAAACAGTTACACGTGGCACGATTTACAAAATGGATTCAGAAAATGAACTGTGGCGTAGTGAGTCTTGTTCAAAAACCACACTAGCATCCCCTGTGCTTAATTCTACATTAAAGTAACATGGCCTTGTTTAAAACCAATATAAGCTACATTTCCAAAGGGCAGGCATGTTTTGAACTCGGCATGTTGAGTTGTGATATTTATATGTTGCAAATGAATAATGAGACCAATTCAGTATGCTCAAATGCAGCATAAGGTGCACAGCTTCCTGAACTGCAGTGATTGATGGATGAGGCTGTGATGGATCGTGACTCGTCAAGAGGCACGCTGACTCTGTTTGCATATAATGCTAAGCCAAACTAGGACTTGAAGTGAACGCGTGAGCATGTGGGCTTCTGAAGAGGCAATCATTGTTGTTTTGCTCTTCCTGCAGTCCTCCTCCTGCTGCATTGCTGTGAGCTAAGCCGTGGTTTGTCTCAGGATGCCATCTGAACCTGGATTAATTGTTTGCCTCACTCCAGACAAACTATGAGCTGTAAACCAAGAACAGGCCTTGGCTATGACTTACGATTTGTCCAGAGCAAGACAAATCGCAAGTCTGAGTTCAGTCGACATGTTAAGCCAAACCACGGCTTAGCAAGCTGCAGCTGCAGAAGGGGGACCAGAGGAGGAGCAAAGCAGTTGCACTCTCCTCTCCAGGACCCTATCACACTTATGCATTCACTTTAAGCCATGACTTGACTTAGTGTTATGCGTAAGCTGGGAGGAGCTTGAGTTTCTCCTGACAGCTGCTTGTGCCTCCATAGTGAGCCCCACCTCACACCTGGAAAACCATTGAATCCCTACTAGCAGGTATGTTCAGGGATTGAGAACAGTAGCGAGCCCGCATCTAAAGGGTGCAGAAACATCTGCTGAAAGAGTGATACTGAAAAGATGATGGCAACATATCCTGTACAATAATAATAATAACAAATAAAGAAAGACAAAATAAAACTTCTGGGGGAAATAAACAACTTTGAGAAATGTCAGAAAACAGCTTTTCTTTTTATCTCACACAGCGCTGTTTTTTAAAAGGCAGTTGAGGAATGCCAAATAAAAACTCCCTTGCAAATCCCCAAAATAAAAGTCATGTTCTGAAGCATTGAGGATAAATGAGTTCTGTTTGTAGTTTTTAAGAAGGCGGGGACTTGTTCTATGTGCAGTTGTGAGATGTCTGATCCCATGGAGCTTCTGCCTGTGGGCTCCATTAGGGTATGAAACAGAGGAAGGGGTACACCAGTTCACAAAAAAGTATAGTAAGGTAAAGGTAAAGGGACCCCTGACCATTAGGTCCAGTCGTGACCGACTCTGGGGTTGTGGCGCTCATCTCGCCTTACTGGCCGAGGGAGCTGGTGTACAGCTTCCGGGTCATGTGGCCAGCAGGGCCAAGCCACTTCTGATGAACCAGAGCAGTGCACGGAAACGCCGTTTGCCTTCCCGCCAGAGCGGTACCTATTTATCGACTTGCAATTTGATGTGCTTTTGAACTGCTAGGTTGGCAGGAGCAGGGACCGAGCAACGGGAGCTCACCCCATTGCGGGGATTCGAACTGCTGACCAGCAAGTCCTAGGCTGTGTGTAGAAATCCACAAAATATTTTTTTCTATTGACAATGCAGTAATATTACCCTAATGCATTGGAATCACAAGAGCTGATGATCAGGGAACAAATTTAATGTACTCAGCAGTAAGCTATAGTGCAAGGCACTTGCCAACAGACTAGAAGTCACAAAGGCAGACTTGTCAGCTATTGCCACTGTGGTGTCCATTAAATTTGTTGCTCTGACGAAGAGAAACTCAGTTTGAAACTCATTAGGGTAATTTTATCGCATTGCTATCAGAATAATTTGCTTTTTTTTTTTTTTGTCCCTTTCCCCTGTGCTTTGTGTGTGTTTGTGTCCTTTTACATTTGTTCTGTTTGGAATTCCAATGTGCCAGTCACCCTCTTCCGTCTACATACAGTACAATTGAAACAGATCAACCCTAAAGGACCCAGTATCAAAAAGTGAGGGGAAACTGGTATTTTTTGAAGTTAGCCAGTTTGCTAAACCCCTGTAAATAACTGTCCTCATGGGTGGTCTACTTGTTTGTGTGCTGCAGTGTCTGAAGTCGGGAGTCACAAAAGGTTGCACAGACTACTTCTATGATTAGTTAAATTGCAAGAAACCATTCTCCTAATCACCAGATTTAGACATTGCAATCTGTGATCCTCTACTTCAGATGTTTTGAAACATGAAAAGAGAAATGGATAATCTTTAGAAATATGACATCTGCTCTGATAGGATGGAAGTTTTATGAGATTCAAGGAATTTCTGGAAACAAAACTGTTATTATTTTAGGATGTATGCAAAACCTCTTGCCCCAAGCTGAATGGCTTTTGTACAAACACAGAGGTATGAAGAGACTCTTCCTGGGTCTTCCCTGTTTGTTTTCCAAAGAGTATTTTCTCCCCCTCCCTTTTTGGCTCGGACACCCACCTAAAGCATCTAGCAAAAGATGCCGGGAATACTAGGCTAGATGGAATGTGTGTTCAAGCCAATCTTGCATTAGCTTTGTCCTTCCTTATGATGCGGTGGCATTGGATGCCCCTCCAGATAGATCCAGCCAATCCCTTGTGGTTGCCTTGGCACCTCAGGACCTTCAATCCGCATTGCCTGGGGAAAGTGGAGGTGACCTGGCATCATGAGATGGGTTGCTCCCTCCTTGGCCATCCATTCGAAATTCTTAATAATTAGGAAAGCTGAAATCAAATCATGTGGATTTGAACTGAACAAGGCTTCTGTGTACTTAGGAAAACAAGATTCTTCTGGCACTGTCCCTTTTTTCCATTACATGCATAGCCTATAAACACTGATGGAGGCCCCTCCCTGTAGTTGAGCACCTATTCATTACCATGACACTCTTTGTTTATCAGTGGTCTCTTGGAAGAGACAATGATGTCTTCAAGGATTCTCAGACTGTCGTAATTTTACATGCAGTACTTAATTTTGTTCCCTTCGGTGGGCCATCAGTGGAATATGGGGGATGTATTTATTTATTTTAGGGACGCGGGTGATGCTGTGGTCTAAACCACAGAGCCTAGGGCTTGCCGATCAGCAGGTCGCCAGTTTGAATCCCTGTGATGGGGTGAGCTCCCGTTGCTCAGTCCCTGCTCCTGCCAACCTAGCAGTTCAAAAGCATGTCAGAGTGCAAGCAGATAAATAGGTACCGCTCCGGTAAATGGCATTTCCGTGCACTGCTCTGGTTTGCCAGAAGCAGCTTACGCATTCTGGTCACATGACCCAGAAGCTCTCCGTAGACAAACGCCAGCTCCCTTGGCCAGTAAAGCAAGATGAGTGCCGCAACCCCAGAGTCGTTTGCAACTGGACTTAACAGTCAGGGGTGAATTACCTTTAACTTTACCTTTATTTATTTATTTTATTACCAACCAAACTACTACTATACTTCTTCTTCTTCTTCTTCTTCTTCTTCTTCTTCTTCTTCTTCTTCTTCTTCTTCTTCCTACACATTGTTATACAGTGAGTTTCAGACTATATACCCAGAAAGCTTTTGGGGTATTCCTCACTGAGAAAATCAGTGGTGCTGGACAAAAGTTCCTCCTGAAGGAGTTTCCCGGCTACTACCAATAATCACCTGCATTGTGCAATAAAAGTGGCTTGGGTCATAGGAAGTGTCACATCATAGGGTTGATGCAAGGAAACTTCCATTTTCCTCCTCCCTTCTGCAACCCCCTTCACCCAATCTTGAAACGTATTTCCTGAGAGATTCAATATTGCCCTGAATGGCATGGACACATGGAGCTGGTTGGAGGGGTGGGGAGATCACCCCAAACAGGGCACAGGCAACTTTTATAAGTGGAAAGGAATTAACTTCACTATGGAATGGGTTAAATTTATTGCTTAAGTGGCCTCAAGTTCAGCTAGAAAGCTTTGTCAATACATGAACTTTTTAAAACAAAAACCCAGAACCAATTCAGCACAACGATCAAATAAATAACAAACCAAGAGCAACATAATGCTGGGGGTATCCAAGTATAATAACAGCACCTCGCAGTTCCTGTGCAGAATAGAAACAGTTTTATGGTTTCTAAAACTAGATTTCCCAAAAAAATCACAACAGAAAAGACCAAGTTCCTGCTTGCATCAACCCTACCATCTGATGGAAGCAGAATGGTGGGGACGCTTTCTCTCTCTTGGTCTCTCTCTCCTCTCCCCCAATGCCTGCTGTCAGTTAAAGTTGCCTAAGGTTGAGTTTATACATTCTTGTAATTCTTCTGTAGTTACTTATGGTTAAAAAAAAAAGTTCTGCTGCATGGATGAAAGCAACATAACAATTGTATGAAACTGGATGTTTGAGAAGTAGCCATGATCTAGATATGTGTGTTCATTTAGAGTAGAGGTGGAGAATCTGTGGCCCTCCAGATATAGCTGGACTTCCAACAGCCCCAACCAGCACAGCCCAGGGATGGTGGAAGCTGTAGTTCAGCAATATCTGGAGGGTCACAGGTTCCCCATTACTGATGGAAGAATTACAAGTGGAGGAACTGGAAGCACCAGAAGTCAATTACTATTGGAACCATAATATGCCTTTCCCCCCATTTTCTTTCCCAGCTTTCCTTGTACGACTGCATTAGTG